ATCCAGAATTGGCCGGAGAATCTATGGTGCCAAAGAATTAAAACTTGAGAAAACTTCCTCAGAAGTAAGAACTTTGCCTCTCTTGCAAGTTAGAAGATGTTGCCGGGTGGTTGGAGAGGAGTGAGGGTTGGATAGTACTCCATGTCATCAACTAACAGGGAGGCTCCATCCAAAAAGAACACTTCAATTTTTCAGGCTGGAGGTATATAACAGGGTGGGAATTTCATTAGCGTGATTGACGCGAATTCAGCACTTTGAAAATACCTTGAATAAACGTGTCTAGCGGCTGAGTCACTATTGTATTTTTATTGTCAACTGTGAATCGAAGGTTATAGAGAAGGGATGTCGTGTAAAATCTTATTTGGACAGCATATTGATAGTTACCTTTCCCGTTAATAACGGCCTATGAGGAGGACTTGGACAAAAAGCAGTGTCTGCATGTAGTCCCTGTATACCCAGGAGACCGCTCGTGCTCGTCGTATATAATTATTTCCTTCAGAATATAACTTTCAAACACCAGTTATTGTTCATGACTAATTTTAGCGTATTTAAAACTTCGAAGAAAGAAAATTTAGTGAAAGTTGAGTAAAAAAATTGTCGAGCAAAATAAAACGAAAAAAAAAAAAAGTATATGTGGCAGCGGTGGGATTCGAACCCACGCCTCCGAAGAGACTGGTGCCTTAAACCAGCGCCTTAGACCACTCGGCCACGCTACCAACTACGGTATTTTGGTGTCAAAATAATTATTTAATGTGTCTTACATGGGGAACATATTTTGCTGGTCTTCCTGATAATTTTAATTGCAAACTTTGAACAATTTTCGATCTCTGAAGTATGAAGGCAGTTATATTTCTATTTTGTACTTGTAGTTTACAATGTCTCAGGGGTGGCTTGCAATGTTAGGACCATCAAACCACGCGTCGACTTCGCGAAAATTAATTTGGACTGCCAGAGAGAACTTTGGAAACAGCTTCTCAAACCCCCTCTTTAAATGCTAAATGTTTGAGTCATGTTGAGAAGTTAAAAAAAAAAATGGCAATAATTTAAAACAAAATAACAATATCCGCTAGGCTTCCCCGCTCGGGTACTGTCTGGCTGCGGTCATCAGCCCTGGGGCAATTGTCCGAGTTCTTTTCAAACAATTTACGAAGTAATTTGAAAGAAGACTTAGTGGCACTACGTCTTTCATATCATTTATGATCAATGAACACAGAAGTTCAAAGTTGCACAAACGACCTATTTAGATACACTTCTGTTATTGACCTGTGATCACACAGCGGGGAGGGACACGGGGATGGTAACCCTGTAGGCTAGGTCCCTGTAGCTTGGGAATATCATTTTCCCGCCAAATCGTACGCGTGCGGCTCGTGCGGGTAAAAGGGAGAGAAAGAATGGTGCAAGTCGACGCAAGGATTTTGAAGTTGTAGTTACTGGTTATGTACGTTAACATTCGTCAGATTCGGTGAGTTTAAGTCACCTTACCTTATTAGGCCGGGGGCTAAACGACCGGATACCCATTCCTCGAAAAAAACACCCGTATAAGGGTCTGGACGAACCAGGCGAGTTTTTGTTTATTCTGCAAATACATTTGTCATCAGTTCCGTTCTACAAGTATGCACGGTGTTTTTCTTGATATCAAAATTTTGTCAAGCCGTACCAAACTTCAAAGGCGCCGTCGTCCTGTCTCGGAGCACGACGCTTGTGGTAGCTTGTGGTTATCAAATATTTTAGTGTTTTCAAGTGCGTGCGCGATTACCAAATTCAAAGTTTGGTGGAGACAAAATTTGTCGACATTTTTGGCAGAGCCAAACAAATCTTGTCAACCCAGTGCGTACGGTACCAAACTTACTTTTAGTTTTTACAAAGAAATGCATGTCTGTGTAAAATTCGGCAAGTTTGGGTCGCATCAGTTCCTATGCGTTTGCAAAGGATTCATACAAAACTTCGCATATTTACTAAATTCGACATGATAAATCGGTTGTTAGAGCTTTTGTTGTTTGAATGAAAAATCTGAAAAGCATGAAATTGTCGAAGTGGTCCTTCATAGAGCAGATTATTTCATTTCAGGGATAAAGACCATGGAGATCATAGGTTCCAGTTTTTGCTCTTCCTTGCTTCTTGCAATGTTTCTGTTGTGATTGTTTGCCCCTAAGAAGATGAACAAGGCGATAAGAAATCCAGAAATAAAGTTCAAAAAGGTAGGTCACAGCTTTTGTAAGATGCATATTTTACGGTAGATGGAGCATGGAGCAAGCTATGCCTGCCAGGGGAGAGGGGGGGGAACTCCCAAATAAAAGGACAGGGGCATTTGTTGGAAATTTTGAAAAGAACCCCTAAGAGGTACCTAGACCCTGTTTTTGGGGTGTGGTTTGAAATTTTTCACCCCTAAAAGATACCGAAATACCGTGAAAGCTCCTTTTGAGGTACCAAATCCACTTTTTTCAACCCTTAAAAGGTGTGACAAACACCGTGGTCCTTTTTCACATGGGAGTTCCCCCCCCCCCCCCCAGGGTGACCAGACCTAGTTTGTGCCTGAAGTAGTATTTTCCCCATGTGCTGACTCACCCATCAGCTCCTAGTGGAGAAGAATCTTATGAAGCTCTGGCCAAACAAAGCCACAAATAGTTGCAAGTTTTGAAAATGAGAGCCTGTGTACAGAAAAGTGTTGAGTGACGCTGAAACGGACTTGCAAGCTGCTAAGAAAATCCTTTGGTGAATTTTAGTGCTAACAGCCTGAGGGGGGCTCCCCTTTATACTCACACTTGATCATGATGGCTGCACATTTAAAAAAGCTCTGTTTAAGGTTATAATATTTGACTATTTAAGTATAATAATGTCATTATCTTCATAATTTCAATGATTGTTTAACACTACTCAGTCTGTGCTTGTTTTGGTCTTTTGGGACGGGGCAACCCTAAAACACAGAATCTGGAAACCAGATTTTACAAACCAAAGAACACAAGTTCCCCAAATATGAAAAAAAATATGTCACATATTTTTTGCCTGTAAAATAGAGTTGCCAATAACAAAATAATGGCTTCAATCTTCACAAATTATGATATTCAAGTGATATCTAAGTTATATTCTCCACTTTTCAAAACTGTGTGTGTTTTTAAAAATATTTGAAGGACAAAAACACGATAGCCTCCATTTTGCATGGAAATATACTCGGATATTTGTCCTTGAACATTATCTGCTCCTTGTAGCTCACAATTTTCCTTGAGCTACGCTTCCGGAAAACTGTTTGCTTCTCTGAACAGATAATGTCTGAAGACAGATATCTGACCAAATTTTTGTGCCAAATAGAGGCTATTGTTTATTTAGTGAAAGAGTGACTCATGCCTAAGCTCTATAAGTCATAGATTCAACTTTATTTCACTTCATGAAATACCAGTTATAGTAAAATAATTTTCTTGTTCGTTGGCTACAACTCTTCAGTGTCGCTCAATGATTTCTACAGAACATCTGATGTCACATCATCTTTCAAATCAACTAACTTAAATTCCTTGTTTTAAGATAATAAATAATGATCTTTGCTTGATTTGCACTTATGCAGTCTGACTTCGGTTAAGAATTCTTTGAAGAGACTTTCATTGTAACCTAAACGAAATAAGAAAGCAAATAACATCACTGTAATCATTCAGGGGTGGGGTGAGGACCTTCTTTTCTTAATGAACGTGGTTTCTACATGCATGGGTAAGAGGGAGAATCAACATAAAATTGTTGCCTAAATATGGCAGTAGCTTTAGAGCATTACCTATTACGTAATTCTGGCAACATTAATACATGAAATGAGAATGCGTCAGTCAGTCATCTGATGCAAATTTATCTTAACAACAACGACATCTGTATCCTGGTAAATTGCAACTTGAACAAAGAATCAAAATGGGTAATACGTCAGATATAAAAAGCTGCTAAAAAATCCCCCCTTTAGACATGCCCTAAAAATTTGTGGAAAGTAATATTTATTTTCCTCAAGAATGCACCAGCAAGAGATCCCAAGGAAAAGGTACAGAAAAGATAAGCTTTTTTACAATCACCTACTCAGGCTATTTGAAGAAAAAAATTAGGCAAACACAAAGACTGACCTGCTTAGAATGTCTTGAACCTCCTGCAAAATGCTTAAATAAATGTCCCTAAACATCCCAAGACACCCCAAAAACCTTTTTCACCAAGCTGTCAGAACATGTAATTCCAACTAAATTGGTGTCACTCAATCATCAGAAATAATATTTTCAAGGGTGAGAGGTTTCAATGACCATTTAACATAAGAAAGGAACAAATAACACATATATGTTGCTTATCACAGTCAACGTACCGTTTTCACTTCCAGGAAAGGTAATAAGCCATATTCACCCCTGGAAAAATGAGGTTCAAAATTGTTATGTCATGAATTAGCCCTGCAGTTTTGTCCCTATCAATCTGTCCTTTGACCATCATTTAGCTTTCAAGATCAACAGGAGTCAGAAAATGAGGTTCAATAAATATGCCATCCTGTAGCTACAACTAAGCTTTTTCTTTTTTGTTATTAATTATGATGAAATTAACAATTGAAACACTATTAAGCTTATAAACTATTACTCTATCATTTATCAATTTTAATTAATGCCATGTAAGGTAACTATTCTGGAAGCTTAAGGCAGATCACATACTTTAGAAGCTTTATATTTCCTTTTCAGTTGTTCCATTTCTAAGCATATTACAACTTTTAATTAGTTGTTCAATGTACATGTACTGTTGTAAAACAGTAAACAAGTACAAACACATGTTGCTCTGAAAGTTTGCCTACACAACACCTGTATTACAAAGATTAACCATTTTTACATGTACATGTACAGTGTATCAAAGTGATTGATGTAAGCAAGTTTGAAATGCATTACCATTCTCTGCCAAATCCAGACATTTTGTAACCACCAAAAGGTGCTTGAGGTTGTCCAGCCTCATAGCAATTGATCCTGGAGAAAATAATTAGTTTAAGTAACATGTTACAATCTTTCCTCACCATCAACATTTTTGCCTTGGTTATGGATACCCTGTAGATGATAGGTTGAATTTTTTCGATTCAAAGCTTGCTTTCAGGTAATAAGGAATACCCACTGACAATGAATCAGAAGAAACATTCTTAGCTTTCATGTTGTACTGAATACTTTTTTCCCCAGAAATACCAAAATGAGGATACATGTAGGACATTCTGCAGAATATGTTAATTTATAGGTTAACAGCAAACACTACAAAATACTACAGAAATATTACTAAAGAGTTACTAACCAAACTGTCCCAGCTCGTAAACTATGAGAAATGGTTGTTGCCTTATCTATGTCCTTGGTAAATACAGCTGATGCCAGGCCATAAGTTGTGTTATTTGCCCTCTCAATGACCTCATTTACCTCACTGAATTTTATTATCTGCTGCACTGGGCCGAATATCTGAAATGAAAGTAAACAAGAGTAAGTAAAATAGTCACACAACATTACTACCATAATAACCCTGTGATGGAATGATATTTAGATATGAACATGCTTTAGTGTCGCACTTATAATTATTATTACTAAATTGCCTTGAGAGTCTTGAGGAAATGACTACTTTAAAATACATAATTATTTCTTACTAATTAAAGCAGTTTGAGGTCCACAATGTAAGTTACACACCGTCATCATTGGCCCAGTGACATGCTTCACACTTGGGCCATAAACCGACTGGGGAAAAGGAAGATCCGTAAGTTACACAGTACAGATTGAGAAGAGGAAGTTAGTAAGAAATTTAGTATATCTCTGCGGTGTGTGTCAGACGTGTCGGGAAACCATTTCAAGTCACAAGTGATGGCTTCAAATGGCTGACTACACCAAAAACATAGTGACTCAAATTATTTGAAATTGTTCCTTAGTCCTTAGCACATTTTGATGCAGGTCATTAAACTTGAAGAACACAAAAATCTTTACATATTTATTTGTCATGAACTGCTTCACATTTCTGAAATTTAGCAGGCTTAACAGTAAAATACTACATGCTGCATGCATTGACCAATCGCTGCACACATAGTAACTGGGAGATGCAATAATAACTATTGCAGCTGTTTTTAAGAGAAATCATGCTGGGATGGACACAAAGCCTAAGAAAGTCTGTAACTTTATGTAACATGAGGATCCGATTAAAAAAAGTTAGAGAGTTCTCACTCCTGTAACTGACATGCAGACGTAGCTGACGATATATCATGTACCTCTTCTTTTGCAATCCTCATGTCATCCTTGACATCTGAGAAAACAGTAGGTTGTATAAAATATCCCTTTTGTCCATGCCGAGCACCTCCACACTCTAGCTTTGCTCCTTCCTTTTTTCCACTCTCAATCAGATCAAGGATTTTGTCAAACTGTTCTTTATCTACCTGATCAGTAAGGTAATCATAAAAAAGTGTGAGAATTGAAACCTGGGTCACCTTACCAATACTTGATAGGGAGCGGTGAACAAACAATAGATAAAGGATAAACAAGTTGATTACGATCTTGTACGGAGTTCAGCAAAATCATGTTGTCTAGAGCCTGCAGGTGGTGTCCTCTGTCTTTGATAGTTCTGCTCTAAATGTTAAAGGTGAAATTACATTAAGCTGGATTCTATATTTGGAAATGTGTCAATGAACATTCTCTCTTAACATATTTAGACTTTCAAACATGGTCTGCCATTTACTCAAACTTAAGAATGCTTCCTGAACTACTGACCCCATTGTGACATAATAAAATATGATTAATACTTTTGTTTCCTGACATTTTTGAGACATGAATTGTGCAAGACAGACATGTGATGTGGGGTCTCTGTCTTTTGACCTGATGTGTCAGTGATGTAGAACTACATTCACACCTGTGGTCCTTGTTCAATCACATCATCAAAGGGATCTCCAACTGCACGGTTTTGTGCTCTAAGCACGCTCTTTTTCACAAACTCATCATAAATGGTATCTTGTACAAAAGTGCGACTGCCAGCACTGCAGCACTGTCCTTGGTTGAAGAACAAGGCAGAGTGTGCATACTCCACTGCAGTGTCAATATCTGCAGTGTCAGCAAAAACTATATTGGGGCTCTTTCCTCCAAGTTCCAGTGTCACACGCTTTAGGTTGGAGTTTGCAGCTGCTGCTTGTATTATCCTCCCAACCTTAAGAAGAATGCAATACGCATCAAGATTCAATAAAGTACAAGTTCTGTGAGATACAGTAAGGTAGGTGATATCTACATTGGATCCTAGCTGCGCATCAGACCTAGCACTCATCTCTACATGGTTTCCATAGCATGAAGCAACCATACCAGTATGCATGAAGGATGAAGGATGAAGCATGAAGCATGATGCATATTTCTACTCCTCCTTGTATGGGATGCCTGTCCATTGCAGAGTCACCCACCAGCATTAAATTTAGTTAATTCACCAGAGCCAATTTATACACCTGAGAGGAAAGAGGGACTGTGAGAGTAAGGTGTCTTACTTAAGAACATGACAATGTTCCTGACCAAGGCACAGATCCAGACCATTTAAGTTCAGCTCACCAACCATTAACATTTTGTCCAGGTTTTCCCACATTACTGTGAGATGCTAATGGAATAATCAATATACCACCTTGGCATTTGTGTCATAAGCAGTCCCAATGATCCACACACCATAGGGTAAAACATTTTAATATGGCACAATGCTTTGTCAAGGAGTATCTACAAACACTGTAAGTATTGCTAGCTGATTAGCAATAGCTTCTCATTCTGGAACAAATGAAAAATTTTGTTTTTATACAGTCAAGACATGTATTTTGGGGTTATACAATGTAACATCACTTAGGGCCTGTTTACAAGGAGAGAGGGTTACCCTAGCAAGCAGGTTACCCTAGCACTCACACATTTTCCTGTTTTTTTTCATCATCGTGTTTACAAGGCAGCCAAGGTTACCCGGGTAGGCGGGTTACCCTGGCAGGCAGGTTAACTTTTTTCCTTGTAAACACTCCAGGTAGGGTTAACCCACCTACCCAAGTTAACTTTCTAATTGTTTCCAGAACTGTTTGACTATATCTGTGCATTAAGTTGTCCCAGGTTGTAGGGTTACCCTACCTGTGAAATTTTACTTGTAAACCCGGGCTAACTTTTGCTCTCCAGCTAGGGTTAACCCACTTGCTAGGGTAACCCTCCCTCCTTGTAAACAGGCCCTTAATTCCTAATCCCAAGCTATCTTTGCCATAATGTTAATTTCATGAATGATGGAACTTATGGTACATGAATACAGTCAAGTATATGTAGCCTAAAGTTATTATTTAATCAAGTCAGGGTCTGATTACAAGGTATGAGAAACTGAAATACCAACAGGTATTGTAATGTGACATCTCTCACTGGTAAGAACAAATGCCTAAAACCCCTGCTATGATTCAGTGCACAATAAACTGATGTAGCCTGCAAATACAGCCAGCTCATACCTTGCTGTCAATCACTGATCGACATGTTTTGACATCACATAGTTCTTAAATGCTACATGGAAATTAACATGATGTAAGATAGATTTTATTTTGCTAAAGAGTACCTCAGTTGATCCAGTAAATGATACTTTGTTGATATCCATGTGCTCAGATATTGCCGCTCCTGCTGTAGGACCATAACCAGAGATGATATTTAATACACCAGGAGGAAAGCCAGCCTGAAAAATAATCAGGATGTTCGGTTTCTACACGATACCATGTTAATGAAAATTTTGGAACTTAGAAAGAAAAACTAGTAAAACTAAGACTGCACATGCATGCATGTCAGTCTGAATGTACATTCACATACACCATCATATTGCTCTCTCCACTGTAGAGGTTTGAACATTTGTCATAGAAATCCTCTGTGCGGAGTCAGTCCAAGGGCAAAGTCGAATGGATCGATCAGATGGCGAACCAGAGTGTTCCAGCCATACTTAATTTTTATGGACACCACTTCTATAAACAGGGCTCAAAAAAGAGCTGTGCCGTCGTCTAGGACAAGTAGATTTTCATTCTGGGCAAGTAACTGTTCATTCCAACTTGCCCGATGGGCAAGGGATCAGGCAAGTCATCTCCCAACTGAATAATTGAAAGAACAACCTAAGACTTGCCCAGGGCAAGCAAAATTTGATACCTACTTGTCCCGTGGGCAAGCTGGAATTCAAGTTTTTTCAGATCCTGATGATATAGTGGACACTTTTTGTGGACACAAGGGCATAACACTTATGGGGGTATAACTGTACTATAGCATTGTGATTTAATTGTTTTTTTTTTTATCTGACGTATTTTTCAACATTTACTTCTGGTATTAACTAACAGACTTGGAGTCACCTCTTTAAACAGAGAGCCTATATACAGAGCTGTTAATGGAGTTTGCTCAGCTGGTTTAAGTATGGCAACATTGCCACAAGCCAGAGCTGGTGCAAGCTTTAAGCAGGCCATGTTGAGGGGAAAGTTCCAAGGTACAATGGCTCCAACCACACCCACAGGCTCATGTCTTGTGTAGACAAAGAAAGGACCATCTGTAGGTAGAAAGATATCTCTTGACAGTCAACCTACATGCATGTCCAGTTTATTAGAAAATAGTTAAATGTGTATTTAACTAATTTAACAACAATGACGCTTTGTTAACTTTAAGTTAGTTAAATCTATTTCCAATCAATAATCCTTCTGAGCTCAGTCAGTGGTCCGACTCCCCCATGCAGGCTTTAATGGCAACTCACCAATACTCTGCAGGACAGCACAGCAGTGCTTAATGTGGTTTGTGGTTCTTTTGTAGCATCATTTCTCCATCTTTAGTGGAGGTTTTCCCCATCCACCCTTTCCCTCTTGTTCATCCTTACACTGATCCTATCGGTGTGGCAGGGGGCCTAGAGTGGGGGCTGATGGNGGACCAAATATCTAAAATGAAAATAAATAAGCTTAACTTAGTAAACAAAAACGTCACACAACTTTACCAGCCATGGAATAGTTGATATAGATAAGAACATGGCTAGGTGTCAGTAAATAAGTTATGCTATAAATATATGTATATGACCTCCTTGATATCACTGAATTGAATATCTGCTTATCGATGAACTGGGCCAAAAATCTTCAATGAAAAACACCAGCATTATTAAACATGACTGTTGTCAACTTACTGTATGATCTAAAACACATTGGTCAGAACTATTGTTGATATATAACTGGCATTTTTCCCACTACAGCATGCCCATTCATTGGCTAGTTCATGGTTACATGACATCTAACAATAAAACTGTTTACCACCAAATGCCATGAGCAGGCAACATTGCAAAAACTATGACGTTAAAAGGGAAACAGTTCACTGTTCACCTCGAAATGTTGACCGCTGTTGCACATGAAGGTGGCCTGATGTCGCTGGAATCTCAGCGGGAAGGAGGATTTGTTTTCTTTTGTGGGAATTTGTTTTGCTGTATATAACAAATCACTTAATGACTAGTCCCAGGGGGAACAGTGAATTTTGTTTCCCGCAAATCTCATTGTTTCCCGAGACGAAGTTGAGGGAAACATTGAGATTCTCAGGAAACAAAATTCACCGTTCCCTTCAGGACCAGTCATTAAGTGTTAAATATAAGAGAGAGACACCTCTTCTTTGGCAATCCTCATGTCATCCTTAACATCTGAGAAAACAGTAGGTTGGATAAAATATCCCTTGTCTCCATGCCGTTCACCTCCACACTGCAGTTTTGCTCCTTCCTTCTTCCCACTCTCAATCAGATCAAGGATTTTATTAAACTGTTCTTCGTCAATCTATAAAAGAAACAAATTGGATAAATGATAAAAGCACAACTCCTGGAGGGGAAAATATCCTGTTTGCCACTACAAAGGGTAGTTTCAAATTTGATGTTTCAAACCATAAGATTTAAAGTTCATTTAAAAAAGAAATAAAACCATCAACTGGATTTAAAAACCACTGGAAAAGAAACTATGGATACAAAGTCAGAAACAGTTTGTCAGTCTCCTATTTGGACATTGCAGATTATAATCAAACCAGTTTTTTGGTTATCATCATCACTTTCACCATGTGTTTATCCTGAAAACCTATGTTTAAAAGTGTATTCAGTGTTTTAATTCATTTTGCTCTACCTGTAGATTTGTATACGCAACTAGTAAGTCTTTTATCTCCTATCATTGTTTATAAGACATCTCAACATGCAGATAATGCCCCTCCTGTGTGAAGTCTCTTGCATCCTTGGTTAGGTTAGATTGTTTGGATGAGACCAGATTGAAGTAAACTGGGCAGCAAAATTGGCATGATGAAAGACTAAAAAATGGCACAAACTTTGTAAAAATGTAGTTTACTACTTGTCTAGAAAGTACCCGTGGCCAACTTAAGCGTTCCTGAATGGGTGTCTTTGCAAACAGTAAATTTGCGAACTGTTTAATTTTATTGCCACACCTGTGGTCCTTGTTCAGTGGCTTCGCCAAAAGGGTCCCCAACTGTACACTTTTGAGCTCTTTCTGCACTCTTTTTTACAAACTCGTCATAAATAGTATCTTGTACAAAAGTGCGACTGCCAGCACAGCAGCACTGTCCTTGGTTAAAGAACAAGGCACGGTGGGCAAATTCTACTGCAAGGTCCATATCAGTGTCAGCAAAAACTATGAGAGGGCTCTTTCCTCCAAGTTCCAATGTCACACGCTTCAAGTTAGACTTTGCTGCTGCTTCCTGGATTATCTTCCCAACCTTAAATTAAGCATCAATGTCAATCATTAATCACGTCAATAAAATCTAGCTTCATAGGCCTGGAAAGCATCTATATAGCTGCATCACCCTCTGCATACATCAGTTATACTACATGCTCAGACGTAAGACTCTGTCATAAGCAACCCATGTATACTTTTAGGATGTCAAAACCTGACCGAAATAATATTACAGGAAATGTTGTTTGGAATAAATTGGTGAAATGGCCATAAACAACAGCAAAACTGAGTAAAAAGGAACTAAAAAAGCTCAACCTAAGCCAACATAAGGTGGTTAGTACACCCTAAATCCTTAAAAGGCAGTTAAATGGGTTGTTCACATTATGTTGGATCCCATTTATCTTATTATCTCCTCCTTTGGAAGTTCAAGATAGCAGAGACCTACTGTCTGTAATAAAATTTGCTCTTATCTTAATTTTGATGTTTGCTTCCATCAAATACAGTATATGCAGTGATGGCATAGTATGGTACAAGTCAATATCCAATACAAGATAAACAAAAATAATAAAAAAGAAAATCAAAAGGCTTGGTAGGTCACTTAATAATTATAAAGATTGGACTACAAGATCATGCACCTCAGTTGATCCAGTGAATGATACTTTATTGATTTCCATGTGTTCAGATATGGCGGCCCCTGCTGTAGGGCCGTAACCAGCGATGATGTTTAGTACACCAGGAGGAAAGCCAGCCTGACAAATTAAATGACATAATGATTTTTATGCTCTCTTGAGGAAATCTCTCAATTGAGGATCTTTGATGATCGACACAGTAATTTTTGAGGTTTGTTATACTTGTAAATTGAGGATTATAACAGTGAATCTTAATAAAGATTGCAAGGATCCTAAACCTTTTTAAGTGCCAAATTCAAAATGTTGATTCTTCTTACTGATAACCTGCACACAGTTTTTTTTTCAGCATCAGTTCTGAGAATTACATGGTTGATCAAGACAATATAACATAGTTGATGCATTTTTCCTTTCTTTTTGTCACTTGCCTGCTTGCTAATGTATGGTACTGTAATGAGAAATTAGATTCTGATCACTACTGGGAATTAAAGGGTTACTTTTTGCCATGATCTATTACAATTAGAAGAGCACAACAAAACAAACCTAAGTGCAACTACTTGAATGCAATTTTGACACTGGTACTTTATTATTAGTAAGGGCAAGTGGTTTTCTATGAATTGTCTTCTTTGGTGTGTTTGTCCCCTGGCAGAACACATGACTAATAATTTTGCATCATACACATGTAAGAGTTGACCAACACAGCAGCTGTCATGAATAAGGCCTATTTTTCATATTGAGCAAGTCAATGGAATCTTCGTCACCTCTTGAAAGAGAGATCCCAGATACAGAGCTGTTAATGGAGTTTGCTCAGCTGGTTTAAGTATGGCAACATTGCCACAAGCCAGGGATGGAGCAAGCTTCAAGCTGCTCAAGAGGAGAGGAAAGTTCCATGGGGTAATGGCTCCAACAACACCCACAGGCTCATGTCTAGTGTACACAAAGAAAGGACCATCTGCAAAAAACAGTAAAACAGAGCAAAGTTACCAGTCATGATACTTATTGAATGCACAGCTGGGAGAAATCTCAAGCATGGTTAAAATTACAGGCATTACCGGTAATATTGCGCATCATACATGTACTGTGTGAACAAAATTTTTGTGGGAGTTTATTTTTGGAATCAGCAAATTTCTGTATTTTGCTGGAACTAATTTTTGCGATGGTAAAAGACTGGTTTTTCTAACTGGGTACTAATTTTTGCAATTTTCGGGAAGTCACGTTTAATTGAAATTACAACATTTTTGCTTTTTTAAATTAATTTGCATGCAATTGACAAGTCAAACAACATGCAGAGATGTAAAACACAGTAATCCAGTTATAGGTGTCACTCTATTACAATTACATCATGGTCTTGTGCGGAATTGTAGATGCTATTCCCAATGGAGTACCCTCAGATGATCCTTTCCTGTAAACCTTTCTTTATTTCTGAAGGCATGTTTTGTTTCTCATTTCATTGTTTTGTTTCTGAACAAAAGAGATGTTTGAAATAAAATGGCTGCAACAAGATTCTACTTGTGATGTGTTTGTATGTATAACTTCACCAGTGGAGTAAATTTTTGCTGAGAAAATTGTTTTGGAGGCAATGTCTTTCTGGGGGGGCATCATGGAAAAAAACCGCAAAAATTAGAACCCACAAAAATTTTGTGCCACATGGTATATAGAGTGAAACCTCTATTAAGCAGACCCCCAATTAAGCGGACACTCTCTATTAAGCCAACACTTAGCCTTGTCGGAAATTAACATCTTATATTTTGCTTTATAACGAACCCCTATTCAGCAGACACCTCTATTAAGTGGACGTGGACACTAAAATAAATTGTATTTGGCTAATTTCTGTTGTTAAAAACCTCTAATAAGCGGACACTGGATGAATTGACAATGTGGCATTGGATTACATCCTTGAAACAGTCGATTAAATAGTCGATTAAATGTACCTGTATTATCGCTTCTGTATTGAAAGGGCATTATTACAAACCAATTAAAGTTGGGAACAAAAGGTGATGAACTTGAACTCAAGATACAACCTGGAACTTTATTACATTACAGAGGAACCGTTGAATGTTAATTGTTTACAAACATTGCACAATTGTTGTAAACCTTTATTAAGCAGACACTTGGGAAGGTCCCGAGGGTGTTCGTTTAATAAAGGTTTCACTTTACTCTAATGGCTGTAGCCTGAATTGCATATTTAATTACAAAACCAGCCCAAACTTTTATACAAGCACATGCATGATTATTTGTTTATTAATTCTTAATTAGGATAGTGTCCAAATAAGTAATATGGACAGTTCTGTACACAACATATAGTTAATAAGTAAGAGGACTACATAAAATTGTCTTACAAATTTAGAAATAATAGGATTTAAAAACTTCTTCAACAGCCAAATTGGACTTTATAGCCTCGGCCAATTTTGGCTGTCCCCTGATTTATTTAAATCAATTTATTTTCCAAATTCAGTGGACAGCATGAGTAAGTCTTACAATTTTACATGT